GTATTTTAAACTGTATAAAAAAAATTGAAATCAATTGTGAAAATCCATTCCTTATATAGGACGTTCCCTCCTGTTAGGACAGACACGAATTGATTTTTTTTTTCTCTTTTTTGGAAAAACAATTTATTTTTTGACAGAGTCCAAGGTGACAAAACGTGAACATTGTTGTTTGGTTTGGTTTGGGTCTCCTAAAGAAACATGTTAATAACTAACCAGAGGTACTATTTTTTACTTGTATTGTCTTTTTTGGTTATTATATAAATATTTTAATTGGAAATCAAAACGCGGAGCAGATCTTGCTGGGGTAATTACAAGATTTTCATTGATAATATTTTACTTTTCGTTAATATTAATAATATTATCATTATAAATATTATAATCACAAGATGTCAAGGCAGCATACCGTTGAAAAAGAAACATTTTGAGTATGCGAAGTTTGATTATCGGAAATTTACAGGTGTTGAAGCATGCACGCTACCTTGAACACTTACAGCCATTCTCACACCTTCCTCGTGTACAAAAGGCTAATCTGACTTGCGACCTTCAATGATATAATGATGCAACTGAATTCCAGGGGGAGGAATGCTTGCCCTGGAATTTACCGAGACTGCATCAATCGTCAATGATGCTTTCACTAATCTTCCCAGACCAGAGATGGCCACTGCCATGTTGGCTGAAAATTCACCTGCAACGATCCTGCCTCCAGGGTAAGGATGGCTCCGTGGCCAAGCTATTGCAACTCTGCTGATGAATATCAAGAGAATCTGCAACTCATTCCAAGCTCAGGAGGTCACAATTCAGAGCAGGGTTTGTGGCCCTGAAATTGCTTTTGGATTCTGATGTTAAGAGGAAAGTTGTAAAATAGTGTTTGTTTTGTATAATCACTTTCATAAATTCTCTGTTTTTTTGGTGCTAACCAATTTATAATTTTGGGTAAGGGGACTGGATTGGGTTTTTGCCCAATCAGTCCCTGTTGTATAGATTAAAATTATCACACGATTATATACTTCTTTGTCAGCAATATGGTCAACAAGAAAAAAGTCATAAAATGGTTCAGATTTTGGTATGTTATAAATTAAACATTTTCCCAAATTTTCTGCTTCTCTTTAATTTTTATCTGACCAACTGAATTTGTTATATTAGTAAATGGGGGTAGGGTTGTTGGTGAGCAGGCATGCCACTGACAAGACAGGGGATGCCTTTGAGATATACCAGCCAAACTCATAGAAAGGGATCTTTTGTCCAGACTTAGGGCTACATGGATGTTAAGCACAGAAAATGTACACTATCAATGTATATTTTTTTTAACAAAATAAACATTTAAATAATTAATTGTTAAATATTAATATTTTTCTTTTCATAAAAATTACAGCAACCCAGGACTCAGAACTCCAAATTCAGGGAAAATCCAAAACGTTACAACCTCCTGAGTTGCTGAATTTTCAAGCCAGTCTTAACACCAACTTTATTCTAGTGAGAGGGGTATAGCACAAAGTAAGCATCATAAATGTCAACTCTCACCAGCAATCAATGCCCATATGGAAACAGCCAAGCCTGGTCTGAGAGGAAGATAAGGGAAAGTTTTGTCCAAAGCCTTCCAACATGTTTAAGTCTGTTTCACCCATGGAAAAAAATCCATGGTGCTGAATTGTGCTTAATTGCACGGTCTTGCATGTTTGTGGCAGGAAAATTTCAATTAAATCTGACGCCTGCAATCAACATCAGATTTATTATTCATAATTTGATAATCAGGAAAAATAATTTATTATTGTGAACCCCAGAGATCTGGGTAGACACGCATTGTTAAGAGTTTTGTTTATGCATGGCCTTGGTATCATTACTACTTGGGTGATGCAATTGTTTGTTATCTCAATGATGATATCAAATGTATTGAAGGCCATCATGAATATTGATGGGTGGAAGCATTCACACACAAGGAAATGATTAAATAGCTAAGTCATGTTTGTTTTGTTAAAGACATGATTAATTATATAATAAAAAAAATTTGCATGGAAACCAAGGCTGCACCACTATGTCAATCAAGCTATCAAGCTGTTATGTTTGTGCATGATTTAAAATTCTTTTGTGCTAATTTAGGGTCCCATCTTTCTTTGCTTATTTATAATCTATTGGTTCTCTTTTTACTGGTCAAATGATGCCAACTTGGGTAATGGGGTATCAGCAAATATCAGAATCTGATTATTCTTTAAAAAAATAATCAAGGTATTAGCATACCAATAAGTTAATAATATTTTTATCATATAGTCTAAAAGCCTATTGGTAAATATTGAATGAGATTATCAGATACTCTTTTAAATTAATCCTATTTTTTAATTAATTTAATAAACCAATAGCTCTTTTGTATTGTAATTAAATTATTGGTTAAATATTTCTAATCATAATCTTGAGTAGCAGTTAGGGTTTTCTATTCAAATAAGGTTTATTTGAATAAAACAAATAATTCAAGTAATAATAAAACAAATAAAACAAATAAAGCATTCAGCCAGAACTTGTTAAGACAATGTTTTATAAACCAAATATACACAATAAGCTGATGTTGTTTTATTATCTACCTATCAAATTACCTCAATAAGCCGATTTTATTAAGGTTTTTTAAATTGAAGTTTTTTTTTTTTTTTTTTTGAAAATATTGACTTCAGTTTAACAAGTTCTGACTGTATTATGAATAGAAACCATGCATTAATATTAATATTAAAATCAATAAATAAACAAACATATAGCTTTTATTGCGAAATAATTAATTTTGTTCCTTTGGTGTTAATGATTGAATCAACCACACAAGTAGTAGTCAATTTAAACAGCATTGTTTTTAAAGAAAATAATATTATTTAAATATATAAAGTTTAATGATTTTTAATGTTGCAAATTTTTTGATACATCAATCTCAGTCCAAAATCAATCATGTTTATATACTTTAAAGTTTCTTTATTTCTTTTTTTGATAAATAACAAATTATCCTTTGTTTATTTGTTTTAGTAGATTTTGGTACACTATAGCAAAATTTCAGAGAACCCAAAGTGTATCAATTACACAAAAACATACTTTTTACTTTTAAAGTACAGCGAATTCTTGTTCCTTATATA